CGTGGTGACCTTGAAGGATCCGAAAACGGGATCCATCTCTTGCTTTGTCATGCGCACGCTCCCATTCGGAGCGCTTGCATCAGTATACCACTTTCTGCGCGTCAGCTTGCTGTTGCATGCCCTCGGGTGCCACCTAGGAGCATGCTGGTCCGCATACTTCGACGATTTCCCCATGGCAACGCATTCGCTTGTGGCCACGTCAACTTCGGCTCTAGTTCAGGGGTTCCTTAAGTTAGCGGGGTTCGACTTTGCAGATGAGAAGTGCACGCCTTTCTCTGCCGATGTCGAAGTCTTGGGAGTTACTCTGGATGTATCCCAGAGCACGGAGGGACTTATCAATATCCGAAACAAGCCTTCCAGGTGCGAGGAGCTGAATGCTGTGATTGAGGAGGTTCTTAGGGATAAGTCCATAGTCCCCTGCCGGTTGCCCTCCTTCATAGGCAAACTTCAGTTCGCTGACGGTCAAATCTGGGGCCGAGCTGGGCGCATGGCCTTGCGCGATCTAAGGACTTTAGGGTTCACTTCTAGGGTGCCGGTTTCCCTCGATGCCAGCGGGATCGATGCGCTCAAAATCCTCCAGCAGAGGTTGATGCATGGAAAGCCTCGCGTCATCCGGGCCGGATGGAAAGAGAAGCCGATACTGCTCTTCACTGACGGAGCCCTGGAGGACGACAACCCGGATCACGGACCGGCCACCGTGGGTGCGGTCATGTTTAAACCGGATGAGCCCAATGTTTACGCTTTCGGGTGCGAGGTGCCGACTGACGTGCTGTCTCATTGGAGATCCGACGGCAGGCATCATGTCATAGGCCTCGTAGAGCTTTACGGCGCCGTTCTGGCCCTTCGGCATTGGCGTAAACACTTAGACGGCAGACGTGTGATCCTGTTTATCGACAATTGGCCTGCACTTGATACCCTTGTCAAAGGTGATGCCAGTCTTGAGATGTGGCGGGAAATTCTTATGATTCTTGAAAATCCCCAGGAAGCATCCCCGTGCTTCTTATGGATAGCACGTGTGCCTTCAGCCTCGAACATCGCAGACTCGCCGAGCCGCGGATCGCTGTCCGAGCTTAGCCATTGGCCTCTACTTGTTGAGGTACCCAAGTGCCCGCTGTCGAAAGTTGCTCTGAAGTCGATTGTGTCATCATGCTAAAGCAGACTGGGGGAATTATGACTTGAGGTGCACGGTCAAACCGAGCACGTCAGAACTGAGCTGTGGCTCTTGTGTTATGCTGGGCCGAGGGGCCCAGCAATGCGATTCATCCCCAGTTTGCCGATGCGTGCAAAACAGTCGAGTGAGCAGCTTCGCAGCAGTCACAATTTTGATATGTTTCGCAAATATGTTTGCGCGCCCATATATCATTTCGGGCAATACTGATTGATGAATCTTACTATTGTCTGATGTTCGACATTTCCTCGAAGGGGAATATACATGTCCCATTTAATACATTGAGTTTGCTTCTATGCTGTGATATTTTGAAACTCCGACGAACTTCATAAGAACTCTGTCGAGCGCCCACGATATACCTTTATGAAACGTCGGACAGCCTTCCATGAGAAGGCGTTTTCAAAAAAAAAAAGGACATGTTCTCTAACCGATTCTTGATGGATCGATTGCCATGTTTGCCACTTTAGTTTTCATGTCCTTTCTTTACCATGTACTCCGGTGGGAATTGTTTCATGGCCTCATGCCGCTGCCAGTTTCCTCAATCAGTGTGAATGAGGAAAACAAATTTTGTCCCGCCCACCCAACCCTAGGGGGAATTATGACTTGAGGTGCACGGTCAAACCGAGCACGTCAGAACTGAGCTGTGGCTCTTGTGTTATGCTGGGCCGAGGGGCCCAGCAATGCGATTCATCCCCAGTTTGCCGATGCGTGCAAAACAGTCGAGTGAGCAGCTTCGCAGCAGTCACAATTTTGATATGTTTCGCAAATATGTTTGCGCGCCCATATATCATTTCGGGCAATACTGATTGATGAATCTTACTATTGTCTGATGTTCGACATTTCCTCGAAGGGGAATATACATGTCCCATTTAATACATTGAGTTTGCTTCTATGCTGTGATATTTTGAAACTCCGACGAACTTCATAATGCCTGACAACGCATGCAAGAATGTTACATCGATATGCATGTCGCATGATAGCATCAATGTGTGGGCCTGGCTGTGTAGTGACTGGGGTACTACACACAACCAATGCTTGCAACTGCTCAAAGGCATTCATTGGGAGAGAAGTGGAGAGGTGACTGAGTACGTCACAAGGTAACTGTGACACATAGACATTCAAATTGGAGGATACTCCCCTGTCACATGCTTCACTTGCCTGTGTAATGTAAGCCTCAACCAGTTCGCATCAAGCTGTTGATGCTTAATCCCAAACGTAAGACCCTGCGTGCGGTCCTGTGTGGTTCTTGCTTCTTGGGCTTGCCCAAAGGCATTTTCCAAATCATGAAAGGGGCTGGTAGGGTGGGCCTCTTTGGAAACCAATGATTTTGGTTTTCCCATTGCTTTGAAGTTTTCTCTTTTTGCATGCTAGGTTTTTCATGCTCACGTCATGCCCTTCTGGGCTGTGTTGGACGATTGACATCTTTGCTTCATATCAGTTATGCTCGAGCCTGGAGGTGGGGCAATGTTTTTGTTCGGGTGGGACGCAGCCATGGATGCAGGCTGACAGCGATGCCGGTACCTAAAGAGGGCTGGAGTCACTTCCCACCTGTCCTGCGTGAGGGTTTGCAAGCTGCTTATGGACATCCGCTTGTTGCTTGGGAGCTCCTTGATAGCGACGAGGGGCTGGAGGATTTATTGGCGGCTGCAAATCTTTCTGATCCAGAGGTTACGTCGGCATGTCGTGATGCGCTGCGGAAGCTTCGGGATACTGGAGCAGGGGCCAAGAGACAAGCATACTTCCGGCAATGCACCCTCATGCGGTGCCCCAGGCTGCCGAGTTCGTCTGATGAGCTACGAATTATGCAAGACTGTTTTCAGGACATTGCTTCGGTGGTAGGACAAGTCCAGAAGAATCGCCGTCGAAGTCACCTGGGCATTTCTCTCCAGGCGGGCATAGAGGATCCCGAACAGCTGGAGCAACAGGAACGTGGTAGGTGGCAGCATGTTCTGGCAGGTTATATTGAGGAGGCTGATCTTCCTGTTATGGAACTTATTCGTTCAAGTGAGACGCCCTCTCAGGTCTGGTCCAGGATTTTTGGTAGCCGCCGTGCCAAGACACTGAGGAATCGGGCTAAAACCTGGAAGGGTTTTCATTTGTGGCTTACATTGGTGAAGGGAACCTCTTGGCCTCAGAGTGTACTGGATGTTACAGACTATCTGGAGCATCGTATTGCCGAAGGATGTGGTGTCAGTGTCCCTAGGGATGTACTCTCTTCACTGTCTCTGCTGGAGAACGTGGGAAGGATTGCAGGGGACGATCGTCTCGGATCGGATCCCACACTGAACGATATGGCTAAGGCAATGGGGGAGGAGCTGGAGAGAGGCGCGCCGCCCAAGAAACCAGCTAAGTTGTGCACTGTTGCAATGCTTATTTCCATGGAATTGTGTGTCATCGACGATGAAACGGCGCCCTTCATGCGCATTCTGGCATGGATCGGGCTGCTTATGCATTGGGGAGTCCTTCGTACTGATGATGTGCAGTGGTTGGATGTTTGCCGCATGGTTTTCACGGATAATGGGCTCACTCTTGTCCTGAGGCGCTCTAAGACGACGGGGCCCGGGAAGAAGGCTAGGGAGGTTCCGGTTTTTATTCTCCGGACCCTCTCCTTGTCTGGTCATGATTGGCTTTGTGTAGGATTGGAGCTATTTCAGCAGCCAGCGTTTTACTGGGAACGCCCCTACTTTGTGGCTGCACCCACTAAGGACTATTCAGGCTGTGTCCGAAAGTTTCTCAAGCCAGAGCAGCTCTCGCTGCACCTTAGGGGTTTGTACACGCATTTGCTGGGGCCTCGTTTCGATGGCTCAGTTTGGAGGGCTGATGAGTTCTTTTTGGTTCCTGTGGATGTTCAGAATTTCTGGAGTGGGCACTCAGCCCGCCACTGGCTACCTTCCTGGGGTACAGCGCTGGGACTTCCGAAGTGCGACCTCGACTATTTAGGCCGGTGGCAGGCAGGAGCGCATCAGAGCACGGAGTACGTCGTTAAGGCGCGGGAGGTTGTCTATCGTGTCCAGAAGCGTGTGAACGAAGCACTCTGCCTGGGACACGAGTCGGTTAGTGAGCTCGAACTTTTCGAGGATCTCAAGCGGTACTGTGCCGACCGAGGTGTGAGTTCTTTGCGAGGGGTGACAGGTCATCAAATTTGGCGAAGGTCTGATGCAGGGCACTTGGCTCTCTTGACACGCTTCCCACTGCTTATCGCTACCCTGGCAGTCGATGATAGAGCTGAGGCAGCATTAGTAGCCGGCTCAGAACCTGCCTCAAATCAGGAGGGTCGCTTCTGGTATTCCATTTCCAGGCGCACGGGCTTTAGGCGTTTGCACCTTACCAACGGGTGCGGTGTGCTTCCATGGTCGGTGCACGAAGCAGTTTTCGTTGCTTCGGTAGAGGAGGCCAAGGCCGATGCTTGGTGTAAGATTTGCCAGAGAAAGGTCGCAGAGGAAGAGAGCTCTGCTTCCTCCTCCTCTGGTAGTTCCAGTAGCACGGCTACGGAGGAGAATGAAGGTGCTGCTGAGGAGGGCAGTTTTCAGGATGGGCCGCCTTCCTTTGAGTGAGGGGAAAAATCTACCGCACTTGTGCGCCAGGTCGGTTCTTTCCTCGAAGAAAAATTTTCCGCACTTGTGCGCCGTGTCAGTGCTTGCCGCTGTCATGTTGCTGAATTGATCGGTGACTCGAGTTGCACGTTTCCTTTTGCGTCAATCATTGCAGTCTTCTGCCGAATGTTGGCGTATGGTTTGAGCAGCTGCCACGGCCGAAGGGAAGGTCGTATGTGAGTGGCAGCCAAGCAAGGGTGCCCGTGGATCGAGGGAGATCCGTAGGATTTCAGTGAGGGATGGCGCTCACAGATGAGAATCGAAGGACCTTCTTGGCACAGAATGTTAGTGCCGACTTGGTTTATCTTTGGGAGGAGCTGAATGTCTCTCTGCTGCACCAGTACGAGTTGGGGCAGAATTACCGTTCCATGGTGAGGTTCGCGGCACTGGCCGACACACGGGCGGGTGCAAGAGCTGCTTTCGCCAGTGATGTAACAGTGGATCCGGACAATGCTGCCGGCCGGGCGGCTCTGGCAGGACTGGTTGCTGCCTGGCAATCCGCTCTGGACACCACGGAGCAGGAGAGAAAGCTCAAAGCAGAGGCACACGTTTTGGGGTTGCCAAAACCCCTTCCGGCCAATGATCGTCTGGCCATGCGTGTAGCTCTTGAAGCTTCTTTAGGGTCCTTGGAAGATCGTGAAGAACCTAGCTCAACCTACCTGGCCCTGAAGATGGAGGAGGTTGAGACTGGAGAAATCAAGGCTTCGCTCTTGGATGAAGTTACTTGTACAGTGGATGAAGTGAACGCCAACTTCCAGTCGTCTGTGGACTCCTCCGGCAGGTTGCGACTTACTAAGGAGCGCAAGAAGGCCAAGCTACCGACCGGGTCTGAAGAGCTCCGTCAGAGGCTTCGAGTGGAGGCTCACACATTTCTGATGCTGGCCTCACGCTTTCGCAACAAAGCATGGTTCCAGGGATTGAGCTCCAAGGATTTTCTTCAGCATGTTGACTACGTACTGGGCGACAAGATCTACTTGTTGCAGACAGTGCGTCCTGAAGGGGGGCCCGCTATGTCTTGGGCGAATCCTTCTTGGCAACTGGTACTTAACTACGAACATCGCTTGAGAAAGGAGGCTTACAAGCAGGCCAGCCGAAACAATCGATCCTTGACCGACACACTCAAGGAGGCCAGGGACAACGCCATGCTCAAAGAGACCTATTTCGTCGGGCCCTTGGCCATGGAGATGGCTTCACGTGCACAGTTCTCAGCCGGGCCGCCTGCAAAGTTTCAGAGGATTGATGGGACGCCACCGCCGCCGACCCCTGATCCCAGCTGGGACCGTGATCGCAAAGGAAAGGGGAAGGGCAAGGGCAAGTTTCTTGGTAAGCCTTCCAAGAATGGCTTCGTCTTCCGCAAGACTCCGGACGGTCGTGAAATTTGCTATGGCTACAACAATGGATCATGTCCGGGAAATTGTGGGCGCGTTCATGTGTGTCAACTTTGTCTTAAGCCACATCCCCGCAGCGAGTGTAAGAACAGGGGTGACAAGGCCGATGGGCCGGATTCCAAGAAGGGCAATAAGCCCAGCTGACTCGAAAGCTTTTCTTGGGAAGAGTGGAATTCAGTGCCTGGGACTGCTTCCCGAACTTACAGATTCTTGTATCTCTTCGCTGGGCCTTCTCGCCATTCAGATGTGAAGAGCTATCTCGTGGAGCTTTCCCGGAAGCATGATATCAACCTTTTCGGACTGGAGATTGATCTCACCCGCAGTACAGAGCATGATCTTCGGTCAACAAGTTTGTGGGCCACACTGTCAGAGCTTCTTAAGGAAGCCGATGCCGTTGTGCTGGCTCCTCCTTGCAACACCTTTTCAAGGGCGAGGGCGCGCTGGAGAGTATCACCGGGGCCTCCGCCTTTACGTTCACTTGAGTACCTGCATGGCTTTCCTTGGTTGTCTGACTCCAACAGAACTCTTGTGGAGGATGCCAACTTCCTTGTTTCAAAGTCCTTTGAGTTTTGCCAGCTTTGTGTCGAGGCGGGCGTAGCCTTCATCATCGAGCACCCAGAACAGTTGGGCAAGGTGCAGCACATGATTCCAGGGTCCATTTGGGACATGGACGAGAGCAAGCATCTGCTCTTGTTCGAAGGCGTGGAAACCTTCGCTTTCTTCCAGTGCCAGTGGGGTGATGCTCTCAGTAAAAAGCCCACCCGGTTTATGGCTTTCCATGTTCACTGGGACACTTTCACCTCGTATTCTGGTGTTCATCGTCTGGCTTCGGATGGTTCGTATTCAGGACCTCTTCCTCGCCACTGTGGGCATGTACATGAGCCTCTTCTTGGAAAGGATTCCGACGGTGATTGGAAAACCTCGCGATCTGCTGCCTGTCCTCCTAATATGTGCCATTGGCTGGCCGCCAGCTTGCTTGGTCTTCGCGTTGGGGGGGGTTCTGCAGCAAGTGGCGCCCGCATGACGACGTCCCAAAATCTAGCTGCTGCTGTATTGCAGCCTCCGGAGCTTTTTGATTGGCAATGGGCTCCCTGGTCCTTGGCAAAGGTGGCATTCCTAGGGGAGCCCTCATGTCCCCTGGAGAGCAAGTCTCGGGAGATCGCCATGTCTGGTAGAATTTCTCAGGCCGACGTGTTTGCCCTTTGCGACCTGATCACCGACGAGGAGACAGGACGGGGACGCAGGCCAGGGGAGCTGCCTACGGAGAAACTCTTTACCAGTGGGGCGTACGTTCATGGCGGTGTCTGTGGCTTGCGCAAGCACTGCCGGGCCTCTCCTTGGACAACCGCCCTGCTGGCTTGCATCATCAACTGCGTTTGTCCTGGCTCTAAGTTCACCTCTGTCTTGCTGGGCAGGGACATAAAGACGGGGCCTCATAGGGATGAGAACAACGAACCTGGCAGCCACAACATTGTGGTTAAGGCTGCTTCCTTCTCTAGGGGCGGCCTGCTGCTGGAGGACGAGACTGGTGACCCGGCAGTTCAGGGTGTTGGGGTTTGTTGAGGGGTTCCTTAGGTTCGACCCTTCGCTCTGGCATGCTACCGAGGACTGGGAAGGCACTCGAATCGTGGTCATCGGTTTCTCGATCAGGGACCCTCATAAGCTTAAGTCCGAGGATCGAAATTTCTTGGAACGGCTTCTAGGTGATGAGGATCATGGGGACACGGGGCCTACACGCTCTACTTCTTCGAAGGTCAAGTCCCCCGACATTGAATATCCATTTCACGGCTACATGGAGGCCGCGAGGAGCTACAACTACGGGGATCCACTCACGGTTAGCTGGCGAGGTCTACATCAATCCATGTGCGATGGTTGCGGACTGAACAGCCCCGGAAGGTGGCGACCGGGGTCCCGAGGCCTGGGACTCCCTTGGGAGGCGAGTGATCTTGCGCAGAGGATTCACGGACTGCTTTTGAGGTTCGTCTCGGAGAACATTGATGACACCAAGAAGGCTTTCTTCCGTTTGGCTCTGGGCAGGATGACTTCGGCCCCCTTCAGTCCGGAAAGCATGGAGCACTTGCGTGAGGAGTGGTTTCGGCTGCTTCCTGACTCCAAGGCCGCCTCTAAGGTGGCGGAGGGCCAACCATTCTACTTGGAGGCGCTTTCACAGACTAGTCGGCTTCTTGGAGATGAGGACTGGGGGATTCTGACGAGGGATCCGGAGAACTACGCGTCGGGGCGCAAAGTGGGCGTCGACTCACCCTTCCCGAGGGTCCCTCTGGTGTTCCGGCCGAAGAAGAAGTGGAGTAACTATGATGATTCACCTTACCAGGCGATCAATGCTAACTACTCCTCTGCAGCTCTGGTTCCGGATCAGTTGGAGGCACAGTTCGAGGAAGAAGAAGCTCTTGGCATGATGTTTCCTTTGAGCGAGGCTGAGGCACGAAAAAGGTTCGGAGACAAGCTACATGTGGCGTCCTTAGGAGCCATCATGAAGGACGATGGCACGGTCCGAACCATCTTTGACGGTACCCACTCCGTGAAGCTCAACAATCGGTTTCGCATTGATGACCACTTAGAATTCCCTGGACCATCATGCGTGGGACGTGCCATGGAGGAGATGGAGGACGATGGTTACCATCTTCTGATTGGGGTGGCCGCGGATGTGGCTAAGGGCCACCGAAGGTACAAACATCGCTCGGAGGACCACGGCTACCTTGGCTGTAGGGCGCGCGAGGATGGTCCCATATGGTTCAACCGGGTCGGGACCTTTGGCATGGCATGCGCTGCTTATCACTTCGCCCGGCTTGTTGGGCTCATTGGGAGGTGTGCACTGACAGTTCTGATGACGAGCCCGCTGTTCCAGTTTCTCTTCGCTGACGACTTGAAGTTCTTCAGTGGTGGTCCCCGTAAGTATGATCATGTCTGGACCATTCTGGTTTTCTGGCTCATGGTTGGGACCCCTTTCAAATGGAGCAAGTTTCGTGGAGGGGTGCAACTTGATTACGTGGGATTCGCCTTTGACTACTTCCGCTTCTCCATGGGTCTTTCGGAACGGAGGGCGAACTGGATCATCGAGTACGTGAATGCTGCGCGACGTGACCGTGGCTTGCTCGACCATCGGAGGTTCGTGGAGTTTGTGGGCCGTCTGGTGTACGCTGGCCAGGTCCTTTACTGGCTTAGGCCATTTATGGCTCCATTGCATCGCTGGAAGGGTGCTCAGGTTCCGGGCACGGTCGCAGTTGCGCCAAGGCTTGTGATGATCACTCTGGAGTACATTCGCTCGATGCTTCTTGAGGGCCACGCGCAGGTTTCATGTCGGGGTGCACGCCCAGCCGAAGCTGAGTCCTTTCGCACGGATGCCAAGGCGGCCGAGGACTTTTATGTTCTGGGAGGTTGGGAGACTTGCCACTCTCTTGATCCTGGGCGCGCTAGGTGGTTCTCTCTTAAGGTGCATGCGCAAGAGATACCGGCCCTTTTCAATGATCGCGGCACCGCTGAGGGAATGAGCACTGTGGCGGAGCTGTTGGCCACCCTTGTGGCTTTACACGCATTTGGCTGGCTAGAGACTAGAGGACGATGCTTTTCAGTATCGGCTGGCACGGACAACTTGGCTAATGAAACAGTGACGGCCAAGAATAGCACCTTGAAGTTTTCGCTGGCGTATGTGCAGATGCAGTTGTCTCATTCCTTGTATAAATGTGGAGGTCACTTGAAGCTCAATTGGAGGCCGCGTGAAGTTAACACCATCGCGGACGACTTGACAAACGAATCGTTTGGGGCTTTTGATCCCAATCTCCGCATCCTCGTCTGTTTGAAGGATTGTGATCTTAGCTTGCTCCGAAAGTTGTCTCAGCATCATGATGAGGTTTCCAGCTGGAGTCAGAGGGGAGTATGCCGTGCCCCATCTTCTCTTCGCAAGCGCAAGGACAAGTATGACAAAACCAAGTGGGGCTGAAGGTTGGCCCTCGCCTGTGGGGGGGGGTCCTGACCAAAGGTCACTCGGGCCTCCCTCGTAAGAGCACAGCGCTACGATTGCACATCCAAGGAAAAGTCTGCTCTTCCGATGTCGCATTCCGTCTCTTGTGATGTGCTTGCTCCTTATGTGGGATTCGAATCTTTTATATTGCATTATATTGCGGAGTTATTTATGGCGATAACTTTGCCCGAATATTTTGCTTTCAGCAATTTTGGAAAAGCTTCTTGGGCTTGCCCAAAGGCATTTTCCAAATCATGAAAGGGGCTGGTAGGGTGGGCCTCTTTGGAAACCAATGATTTTGGTTTTCCCATTGCTTTGAAGTTTTCTCTTTTTGCATGCTAGGTTTTTCATGCTCACGTCATGCCCTTCTGGGCTGTGTTGGACGATTGACATCTTTGCTTCATATCAGTTATGCTCGAGCCTGGAGGTGGGGCAATGTTTTTGTTCCCGCCCATCCCACCCTTTAAGATTCTTGTCGCGCTTGGGAGGGGTGTTTCTTCTGAAAAGGGGGGGGTCCTGACCAAAGGTCACTCGGGCCTCCCTCGTAAGAGCACAGCGCTACGATTGCACATCCAAGGAAAAGTCTGCTCTTCCGATGTCGCATTCCGTCTCTTGTGATGTGCTTGCTCCTTATGTGGGATTCGAATCTTTTATATTGCATTATATTGCGGAGTTATTTATGGCGATAACTTTGCCCGAATATTTTGCTTTCAGCAATTTTGGAAAACGAAAGAAGACCTGGTTTTGCAGCTTGGCAAATCCCATATAGAGCCAATCCGTGGCAATGTCTGTCGGCAAAAAACCAACGGCAGCACTTAATGAGATGAACCAAGTGTCCCACACCTGCGTCAGAACACAGAAAAGAGGTCGTGATTCTAAAACTCGGCGTGGACCTCGGAGGCCTTGTCGGCTCTAAACAACGGAGTGCAGTTTCAACCCGGACATTTTTGGAGGAGTGGCATCAAGGCCTTAGGAAAGTACTGTGCTCCAACCACCTGTCGGAGTTTACGCCTTTGCTGTGGTACTTTTGGTGTCTACTTGGCTAAAGACCGGAAGTGAAGCAAAACAGTGTTCTGTTCGAGTGTTGTGCTCTGAGGGTTTTGCTTGGACTTGTTGGGTTTTGTTCTTTTTCGTGGCGGAGTCTGTCTGATCCAAGAGGGACGCACGCCTGTCCACTTTGAGAGAGAGCCCAATACACAAGTTTACGGGCTTTCAACGATGAAGCATGGAGGGACGAGGGAGACCATCGTTAGGGTTGGATGCTGCGTTTCGCTCTCTTGTCTGCGATAGAGTCGCCGCCTGTTCATTCCACAGGGTTTACAGGAGGGTCTCTTGCAGGGACTCCAGTGCCCACAGGGCCACAGTTTCCTCTCATCAGAGTGTAACGTTCAGATCAATCACTTCAGAGACCAGCAAGATCTCATTCCTTCACCCGTGCCTGCGAAGCCTGGTGCTCCATTTGATGCATATCCTGTCTGGGTTACGATTCGGCAGCGCGATGCCGAGGGTCCCATGCAGGAGGGCTATGTTGACTCAGGTAATGCTGCGTTGTTGCTTGCAGTTTTCTTTCCGCCGCGCCGTTGCATGCATTTTTGTTCCGCGCTTTTGTTCCGTTGCATGCATCCGCGCTATCGTTTTGCGCTTTTGCTTGCATTTTTGTTCCGTGTTGTTGCTTGCAGTTTTCGTTCCCGCCGCGCCGTTGGATGTATTTTTGTTACGCTTTCGTTCCGCGCCATCGCTTGCAGTTCCGTGCTTGCAGTTTTGTTCCGCGCTTGGTTGCAGTCTTGTTGGTGCAAGCCTGCTGGGCCTGTGGTGTGGCGTTGCCGAGTAGAGATTGTGGAGGTGCCGCTGGTTGTGGCTGTTGCTGGTTGTGTGCTTGGAAAGGGCTGGTCTTGGGTAGGACGGCAGGACAAGCGTCGGCATTGCTTTGCCCAAAGGTTTCGGGGAATGTGTGTTTGGGGGCTGGATGAGGTCGATGTCTCATTTGTCGATGTGGCCGACCAGCTGCGACACTGCTTTTTCCCTCTTTTCCTCATTGGGACTGGCCGTTGTGTCGTGATGTTGCTGCAATTATGATGCTTCGACCGCTTCGATCTTGATGTTGGGGACAACTTCTTGTGGAAGATTGCGTCATTGTATGTTTTGTGTCCCTAAAAACTGAAATTTGACCCATCTTCCGTTTCCGATCTTGCTGTCGATTCTGAGCCCTTTTGCTTGTCGAGGTTGCGGCATATTCGCTCTGATCGCTCTGCATGCCTTAGTTTGTTGTAACACTTAGGCAATTCCTCTTTGTATTGCGTATTTGAGGCCTCCTTTGTCCGATGTCCATTACCAAGCGGCCTTGACGTAGGCTTCGGTCTCGTCTAGGGCATCTTCATGTGTGAGTGGTTGTGAACTTCTGCAATGTGTCGGTCCACACGTTTGCACTTGATGTTGTATCTTGACGTAGGCATCCGCCGTGCCATAGGACTTAGGGGCGTCAAAGTTGGGCCGTTTTCTGTCTAGATGTACATCTTGATGTGTTTTTCGAAACACAACGTTGCTGACGTCGTGCTGGGTCATGATACCTGACCGTATCGGAATGTAAGGGCCAAGTCTTGGAGGGGAGGAGAAGTCGGGACCAGACCAAATGTGCTGTCATAGGTTCATTTGAGTTGTTGCTCGAAAACTCCAATGCCAGCGAGCGATGGAAGGGGTATTTGTCTGGCAATGAGGCCTTTTCTGACGAGCATCCTGCGCTGAATGGCCGGCAACTGTAGTATGACATCACCTGCTTTGGATCTGAGAATCTTGATGAACATTGCTGTAGTCGCAGGCTTCCTTCTCAAGTGTTTTGGTCGAGAGTCTTGTTCCATTGACCTTCGTATCATCTCCGATGGCGACCGAGTGGTGTTGCTCATGTTGTTCCCGTTCTCTTCCTCGAAGCTGATGTGCTGGTATGCTCTTGTGTATTGCTTGCCTCCTGGCACGTTCTTGCTCCATTCATTAAGCTTAAGGCTTAATCATCCTGTTAGGGAGGTACCGGATCATTGGGGTTTGTCCGTGTTGTAGTGCCCATTGATGTGGCTCCACATCTGGTAGTACATGTTCAAGACTGGAGAATTCGGTATAGTCATCCATGGTTGGATGGAGTCTCCGGGCAGCAATGGTAGCGTGGAAACCAGTGGGTGTTCCGCATCGTTGATGCCTGCGGATAATTGTTTCAATATCTCTCTGGTGTTGCCTTTGGATTTTCTCATTGCCTGGAAAACTGTGGGGAGTGAGGTTACGAAGAGGGGACGTGATCTCGAAGTTGCGTGAGCTATTGTGGGGATTCCTGTGGGGTGGATCTGGTTATAAGCTGTTCAATAGTTTTGTCTTTGTGCGGGTTTGAATACTTGGCCTCTTTGTTTATGTGATCCGGTTGGCGCCCTCAGAAGCAGTGGAGCCCATGTTTGCTCCTTACAGCAGTTCTGCTCGAGTGCCGCCTGTGTGCCTGTGTTGTTGTGGCGACGGCAGTGGTTGGCGTGGCCGGAATTAGCCTAGGAAATGTCTGTCCCGTCTGTGATATCCGCTGTGCTTAGTGGAGCATGGGGTGGGATGTTTGCCTCCACCCTTTGATTCAAGAAAAATGTTCTGCGCCAGTGATTGTGCGATCGTGCTGCCGGATTGCCAGTGTGATGCGCGCAGCTTTAGCCTGTAATAGTGGGTTTGGAATGATTGACGGTCACGCTCATGCCCATGTCCTACTTCTCTGCGACATAATCCATGAACTCAAGGATACCCCCATCTTCGGAAGCCCCCTATATGTGTTAGCCTTCCCCAAAGCCACAGGAATCCTTTGATTGAGCTTATGCCCGTGCAGGTGCCTGTGCGGCCACGCCCTTCACGGAGTCTGATCCCCTCCTGCCAGAAGCCGCCGGTGCCGGTGTGGCCCTCAGACCGGGTGGCTATTTTTTCAGATTCGAAATCCCCCTTAGGTTGAGCCCTGACTTCTGCCAGCTCGGGGCGTTGTTCTCCACTTGGGAGTGTTCGTTCATGACACGCTCCGTGGTTGATGGTTTCGGGCTTCGACCTCAACATGGCACCACAAGCTCCAAATGCGAAGCTCAACCTGAATTCCTGACCGGTTGCATCGAACCAGTGTAACATTGGAGTTTGACGTTCAGTGTTGTGCCTTGTTCTCTTCACATGAAGATACATGAAGTGTTTTTCCTGTGTAATGTTTTTTGCCAAGGCGACGATGTTGTGCCTTTTCGCAGGAGTTGCTTGAACACCCGAATAAGCTTTGCGCATGGCATATGTCTCCCCTAGGTTCTGGCACAAGACAGCGTGGATCGTCCCTTTCCCTATCCGTGCCGCCATGGTACCAGCTTCGCGCGAACCGCAGGATTGCCACTATGTCCCGCAGTGATTGACATTACGACTTCTTGCCGATTGCCAATACAAGCACATGCGCCTGACCGTCCACTGCAGGTCGGTACTCAATTCCACCGCTACGATGATCAGATTATCAGTGGAGGATGGGCTCTCCTTAGACTTTTCCCACCTGACCATCAACCTCGACTGGTATCACGCTTTCCAACAAATTATTCTGGAGGTTTTATGTGGGTCTGAATGTCATCCCGCACTCTATTTCCAGACCGATGTGGGAGTGGTGTGTCTCCCTACGTTTGTTCCACTTGACCCTGCCGCTTTTTGCCTACATGTTTTGCCAGGCATGGGAGACCGGTGGCTCCCAATGACGCAACCGGAAACCTCTGGAACATCCCATCAGACTGTCAGGTCTGCAGGTGCATGTCTACACCGTACGACGGGACACACTTCTGGATGACCATACATATGATCTGTCAAAGCTCGCACAGCAACTTCCCACTGGATGACATTGACTCCAACTTAGCAATTGCCCCGTTTGAAGTATTCCACAGAGCTGTCTAGGGGAGCCGACATGAGGCGAACCGGGGGACCACGGCCTTCCCACGCTTTACACCAACGTCAACTGACTTATCAGGTGATCCATCTTTTATCGGCGAGTGGTCACGAATTCCCCTTGTGCGTCGGGTGAGCTTTACCAGCGACTCTAGAAGCGTCCTTTCTGACTGAGCTTTTCCCCACGGTGGCCGGAAAATTTACCCTAGTCCTGCCATCGTCTCACCCGAAAAGGGTAGCGAAGAGCCCTGTATAGACATGTCCATCGTGTATGTAGTTTTTCCGGAACTTGTTCCCCAAGCTGTATGCTTCCGCCGACTTTATGTTTTCCCCGCACGTTAGTCCCATTGACAGGGCTGCTGACGAGCGGTCTCACCTGTGGACACGCTCTGCGCGACTGAGAGAGAGAGATATGTCTCCCCTGTGAACTTAGGAAACATGTCCAAGCCTAAGCACGAGGCACGGCCAGGGTTGTGTGGAGTGGTTCACAGCAACCCGAGCCCTGTCAGCCAGGGTGAACAAAGAAAGCCTGAAGCAGCCTCCAAAAGCCCTATACCAAGCCAGGGTGCCGACCGCTCCTGGCCACTTCGCCTGGTAAATGCAAAGGTCACCTTGGCTAGATTTGAAGGAGGCCACGTGCGCAGCAAGCAAGCAAGCTGGTGAGCCATGATTGTGATGCTTTCGCTGCCAGCTGCCACCACGTGATCCACGTGATCGTGCCAGCTCCTCAGGGTTTTGGGGGGGTGGGAGGTTTGGCATCTTGCAGATCCCCGACAGTAATCTCTTGCAGGAAATCGCAGAACTGCGCCGAGAGCTGTCTGAAATTGTCTGAACTGCGAAGCTGCTTGTTAGGGTTAACATGAAAACACTCTGAGATCGCCGCATGCACCCCGACTTGGAGCTCCAAACCCTTCGAAACACTCCCTGCAGGCATGGTCCTCCAGCGGACAGGCCATCTGCGACAGGCTGCTGGAGCCTAATAAGCCTTGGCTTGACTTGTTCTGCCAACCCCATTGTGACCAATCGCCAAGGTCAATCGTTTGGATGGCCGAGTCTGGGAGGCCTCGGGACTGACAGCAGCCTTCCGACCCCAAGATAGTTCAGCAATCCGCGCGCCATCCGCGAATCCGCGCAGGTGCATGAAGGTTACCCAAAGGCGTTCTGAAGGGTGTGAAATGGACGTGACGTTACTGATGTTGCTGCGAGTATGCCTTAGGAAGGTTACTTCCAACATAGTGTGCCTCATGATGACAATGGTTCGTACAGCTGAAGCTTGCCGCCTTGATGTTGCTCAATCTGCAAGCGAAGCTCCAGCGTTGAAACTACATATTGCAGGCTGTCATCATGGTGCGCAGAAATGCTCGCGCCCATGGCCGCACTAGCATAGCACGGACGCTATCCGCTATCCATGCGCGCGCGAGCACGCGCATCCACGAATCTGCGAATGCACAAAACCGCGTATGTATCCACGCACCCGCGCGAACTGCAAGATGCTACAATGGCAACAGCGACACGGCACACCGGGAAGCCACTTTTGAAGCTTCAGGAGGTCAAAAAATAGCGCTTCGAGGCGAAGCCAAAACTTGGTGCAACGCCCGTTGGCCTTGGTTCCTCCGAGAACAGGAAAGGCGTCACGTGACAGTCTTCCCGAGCCTTGTGCCTTGAAACACATCGAGAAGAGGAGGGGCGTCATGAAAGTACACCAATGCCTTCCGCCCTCAAAGTTCCTTCCAGGGACTGTGGATTTGACAGTCGTCATTTCGAGCGCCGTGTTTGCACCCGGTTTGCACCGTAATGAGAATACGCGAAAGTTGCACGCTTGCATCCGTTCCCCAGAGCATCCATGCTCGCACGATGATAATGGTCCGTGCTACCAGCCGTCCATTCACTACAACAGCCATGCCCGCACCTTGATAACGTGCATGCTGGCGCAGTTCATTCGCCAGGGCATCCGCGACCTTACGGTAGTAAAACGCCCATGCCGTTAGTGCATCCGTTTTTCAATCCATCCATGCCCGCACGACAACGTCCATGCTAAGCTATCAGTGCGTCCGTTCACCAGAGCACGCATGCTCGCACGATGATAACGTCCATGCTTCCAGCGAGCATCCATGCCCGCGTGATGATGACGTCCATGATCGTCCATGCCACCAGTGCATCCGTTAACAGCATCCTTGCGCACGATGTTTGTTTTTTTGAGGTTTAGGTCTTTAGTTATTCGGTCTTCTTTCCGAGAGTTGGAGGAAGTCAGCTCAAAAAATTCAACCTTACATTGCAAACTCACACGCTCAAACCCGAGACCCACAAAAGCTTATGAGGACGTAAGCAGGAAGAAGGTTATAGGCTTGAAGGGTGTTATAGCGTTTTCAATAAATGCATTCTTCCAAAGACAGGACACCAAAGGATGTCTACAACGCGGGCCCCCCCGCACCGCCCGATTCACTGCTTTCATTTATCCAGTTGTTTTGTGCAGAGTTTTGCTTCCAGTCGGCTGCGCTAGCAGCCGCCCAGCTGTTAGCGGATGCGAGGATTCGAGCTTTCGCGGATCGCATGTATTCGCGTTTTGCTCGGGATGCTGTCAGGATACTCTTCTCGAAACGGTCACCGTTGTGCGGCCACTTGATAGTTTCTTTGCTACACTTACGGAGTTAAGGGCCTTATTAAGCGTCGAGGTGTAGTTGAGTCAGCAGAGGCCTGGGTTTGGGAATTTTGAGATGTCTTGGTTTGGGCATGATGTGGTCGAAGCATGTCGAAGCTGAGGATGGGGGCCAGGGCGAAGGGCAGTCAGTTGGGTTTCCGAGCAGGTGGAGAACGCCCTGTGGCCGGTGGAGGAGTACCCAAACTCCTGATCGCTTTCGTAGGAACAGCAGGTAGCGAGAAGTTCCGTTACCGCTTGTGTTGGTGTGCTGCGGGCTACTTGTGCGCCTCCCAAGGTTTCAGGAAGCAAGGGTATGCATGGCATTCAAGCTAGCCAGCACATAGCCAGCTTCTTTAATCGAGGAGATTGCTATGAGATTCAGCAAGTCCGAAAGGAATTGAGAAAAGATCGGCCCTATGCCCTAAACCCTATGGGCAAACCCTAGGCCCGACGGCTGCATGCCTGCTGCTTCGACTGCCGTCGGGCGGAATCTGATGCTGTGCATTTTCATTAGATGAGTGAGTTTCTGCAGACTCAAAGACGCCCCTCCTCGATAACATGTTAAGCTAACTTACAGTTGATCAGCAGCTAACCCTTCTCTCTTCGGAATGATATGTAAACTTCATCCAAAGTCATAACCTGCACGGCATGCTTGTCGTTGCAAGAAGCGCTCGCTCCCGTTCAGTCTGTACGGAAAATAAACCTATCGTCCAGCCCCAGAACTGCGCAGAGCCATGGGGAAAATCTTTCGCTCCACACACCTCCAACATAACCGGGTTTGTCAAAAGTTAGTGTCAGATACCCAGGAGCATAAATCGCAAGCCACGAAAACAGCCGAGACAGCATGCTCGGACGATGAAGTCTGCAATAACAGTGTTTTCATGCGAGATGGTGGGTTCTTGCATGCGTGCAGAAGCATTTCGGCTGCAACCATGGGCTACTCAGCTCATGTACTTCCAACCTCACAGCGGCCAGCTTGCATTGGTGTGCCTGTGCATTTCACTTTTTCGGCATAGGATGTAAGTGGGGACGGATGCTGTCGTGTCAATCCTGAACTGAAGGAGGACTTGTGACGTACGCTGAGATGCTTGTTGTGGCCAGGAGTTTGAAGAACAGTTTTGTTTACGTGAACTTGATTCTGGAGATGTGCCTGAGCAAGGATGGAATCTGATCTTCGGCATGCTTATCGCGAGCCGGAGGCACAAGTTCTTTTGTTTGACAGTGCAAATTCAGTTCCCGGCTGATGGTCCGCTGAGATCGAAGTCAGGTGCAGAAGTCTTGCATTTTGGATACTTTTGTGACTTGGGTGTAGGGCGTAGACTTTCGCATTGCCATCCCAGGTCGAGCTCGGAGCTGGGCGGGTTTGGCACACGTTTGCTTGTGTTTTTGTGTTTTGGGATGAGAGAGAGAGGTTCAGAAGTGGCTTGCCAGCGTAAAGGCTTCCAGTGCAACTATTGTCGGTTTCTCCGATCTGTGTGGCAGCTGGAGAGGTCTATGCCGGCGACATGCCACACGCGTCGTACAGCATGATGACGCAGCCGGGTCACAACAGATTTGTACAGTCTTGAAGTTGAGCCTCTCCATGAGCTTTTCAGCTCGAGCTTCTACCACTCCCAGGTCGGGTGGTATGCAGTGCGACGACGGGCTCCAAGGTATGAGCTACATACAGGGTGACGACACTGAGCTGCCAAGTTTGGAGCTAAATTCTTCCGGGGAAGCTTCAAGTCTTCAAGTTCAGGTTTGGAGCGATGCAGAGTGAGAGGGAGGGGCGGTATGTGAGCAACCGCATCGAGTTGGGGTTGCGCGGAGACTTGTTTCTAGCGCTGTTCATTACGAAGCGTCGGAGCAGTCGGTGTTATGATCTATGTGTGCCAAGGCTGGCTATATGTCGAAGCAACTAGACTGGACAACTGGCACAGCCTGTCCGGACGAAGCGAGCGAGACGTACTGGATGCAGACACCAATGATGCATCAGGCCGACACTGAATGTCTTGGATTCAGTTTGCCAACTGCATTTGACTTGGGAAGCTTCAATTAGCAGGTTGTTTGTCTTTCGCTTTGGCATTCCGACACGTTGTGACAAACTTTAAACGACCTCATTTCTGGTGTAAGCGGTTGCTTTTGTCTGTCTTGTTAGGTTTGCGTCTCCGTCCTTTCGGCTTGCTGAGGATAGACTTTGTCAGTTACAACGCTCCTGCAAGGATATTCGTCACGATTGTGCGTGTGCAGGTCTATGCCGGCGACGTGACCCATGCATCGTACGGCATGATGACGCAGCATGGCCATCGTTGGGTGATGCCGTGTCTTGAATTTTAAGTGACTTTGTAGGTGCCGATAACCCCGAAGCTGCATGTCTGTCGTGTTTTGCGAAAGCTGCTGAGCTGAGCAGCTGCTGAAGTGGAGCGAGACTTTGGGATTTCTTCCAAGGCAGGGCTCCGGCCTTTGTGAGGATGGCATGTACGGCATCGCGTTTGCGCAGGGCAACGCCTTCCGTCTGAGCTTTGGGTTTTTGTTTGACTTGTTCCGGCGGCTTCAGAAAAATGTTCAGAGGTCAGCGTTGCAGGTGGATTTCCGTTTAAATTGTCCATCGGAGAGCCTCGGAACAGTTCGCCAATGTTTTGTCCTTTGTGCCAAGGCTGGCTATATGTCGAAGCAGCTAGACTGGACAACTGGAACAGCCTGTCCGGACGAAGCGAGCGAGACGTACTGGATGCAGACACCAATGATGCATCAGGCCGACACTGAATGTCTTGGATGCAGTTTGCAAGCGAAGTGAGAAAGCCGTTTTGCGCCCGTCTGCATTGTGTTGTCGGTGTGGTGGCTAAAACTAGAGCGTAGGGATGAAGGGTCTTGAAGCGCTGTGTTAAAGTGTGAGACGTGGCACACTGCAGGTGCCAATCAGAGACACCTTCGTCAGGCAGCGCATCTTTGATGCGGTATGAGCAAGTGTAAGATGACATCTGATGCAGCAAGGATTGCTGCTCGCGTCTGTTCTGTCAGCTGCAGCAGCGACAACAGCGGCCGCAGACATGTTCGTAGGCAAAGTATGCCGCCGTAGCCAGTGTTCCATCAGTGCGAGTAGAAGTGGAGCTAGAAGGTAAGTAAGTAAGTAAGCAAACCACAACAACGAAAAGACAAATTAAATAAAGTTGATAATCTCTTCTACAGAAATGCAGAGCAGTAAAACCATAAGCAAACTAAGGTCAGGCAGAGCCAAGTCACCCAAACCAAGCAAATTGAGGGAGTGAGCGATTGAGTGCAGATTAACCTTGTTGAGTAGTTGTTCAAGTCAGTATGTATGTATCAAGTAAAAACACTGCAGCAAGTGGACAAGTATGTAAGGAAGGAAGGAGGGAGACAACCAAGTGACCTAGTAGGTCAGCAAGTAACTAATTCAGTCGACAAGTCAGTCAGTAGGTACGTAGGTAGATAAATATTTCTCTCAAGGCAAGCTCAGCAAGCACGAGAGCAAGCAAGTACGTAAGAGCGAATTTTACAAGTAAGTGTAGTAAGTATGTAAGTAGGTGGGAAAGTAATTGCGAACTTGTGTCAGTAAGTAAGCATGCACTCACGAAGGACGTGAGTAAGCAAGAACGTCACAGGACCATGAATAAGTATGTAAGTATCTAAGTATGCAGGTAAGTAAGTAAGTGTGAGCGAGCAAGTGAGTGAGTACGGAAATGCGTGCTCAAGTAAGTACCTCAACAACCAAGTATGCATGTGCGGGAGCCGCGAGTAAGCAAGCAAGTAAGAAAGAAGCGAGCAAATGAGTCGGTAGATAGGTTAATCAGTCAGTATGTACGTTAGATGACAAGCAAGGAAATAAGTAAGTACTGAAGCAGTAGGCAAGTAATGCAGCAAGCAAGCCAGCAAGCCAACCAGCCAGCGAACCAGCAAGCTAGCAATCAAGCAAGCAAGCCAGCACGCTAGCACGCAAGCTAGCAAGCGAGCAAGCTGGCAAGCGAGCAAGACAGTAGGCCAAGCCAAGCGAGGCCAAGCAAAGCCAAGCAAGGCCAAGCAAGGCCAAGCAAAGCCAAGCAAGGCCAAGCGAGGCCAAGCAAAGCTACGCAAAGCCAAGCACCAAGCAAAGCCAAGCAACACCAAGCAAAGCCAACCAAAGCAAGCAATCAAGCAATCAAGGGAGTACGCCAGAAATTGAATGGGCATACATCGGTTTGATATTAGAAACAGTACACGTGTATTGCCGACTTGTAAGGGGCACCCGTCATTCGGCAATGCCCTGTGGGATCATGGGTTTGGGTTTCAGTGTTCTGCTCAGTGCACAGGCCTTGCCATCTCAGCGCAACACTGTTGAAGTCTCGTCTCGTTCGTCAAGTCGCTAGTTATTTGAAGGGCCTTACTTCTTTTTGGCCAATCATCCAAGAAGCTGTCGGCTTTGAGCCAGATCGGCCTACATCGGACTTCACAGCTGCGTGCTTTTCGTTTCAACCGACCTCATGCCCGGCAATTCTCGCTCCGCCGCTCTCAGTTCTGTTTAGGCCGCCCAAAGATGCAAAGAGGGCTTGATCCAGAAACGGCACCTCTCTGCCTCCCAAGAGACAGTCTATACGTCTTGCCAGGTCACCGCCCCGGCTGGAGCACCCAGAGGCCAGCGTGCAGCACACAGCAGCCCGCAGCACGCAGTGTGGCAGCCTTCCTCGGGAAATCATTGGCACTGCTGGCACTGCGAAAGGCAATGTCCTCGGAAATGCAGCAAATTCGAGAGAATCTGCAGAAGCTCCGGCGTCTACAGGTGTGCTCGCTGCAGTGTCGTGGGTTCTTCATGTTGTGCGCATAGGGTTGGTGGCTAGCGTTCAACTCGCCTGTTGTGCGGCTGTGTCAGGAGGCACTTGCAAGCTTGGGTTTGTTTGCCGCAGCAGGAGCGAGACGAGAAGGCCTTGTTTGGTGGCAGGAGAGACAGCAAAGGAAGGCCCCTTGCCTGTACAATGATGCCATCGTCACCCCTTTCACTCGATGCACGCCCCAAGCCGGAGAAGTTCTGTAGATGCTCAAAATTCATTAGCTCTTCTGCGAGAGTCTACCGTATGGATGAGTAGCTGTAGGCTCACTGGAGGAGAGCCGCCTTTCAGTTTGACTGAAAGATTCCGGCAATGGGGTTTGTCTGGTGAAAAGTGGGCCCACTTGCGAGGTTTGAATGGCCGGACGGCACTGTCTACGATGGTGAGTGGCGCTCCGATACTGCTGCAGGCTTATTTCGGGCCGCAGCATCTTCGGAGCGTCTACGGAAGAGGCTGTGCTTTAAGGTCGAAGGCGAAGGTGCCTTTAAGCGGAAGGTGCAGGCAGGGCTCCGCCTGTGTAGCCTCTAGCTGTCGTTTCTTGAACAAAGGCTGCCAAGTATGTGATTGTTTTGTTTGTTTGCTGGTCTTGTGCTGAGCACGTCTGTCTCTGCACGGACTCAGACAGAGTACCACCTTGCCTGCTCCATGGTTGAAGGCAAGGAGCCGCCGAAGCCATTTGCGATTGCTCTCTTCTGCTTCCGCTCCGTAGAGCCGATGTATTTGATTGGCGGGTGGATCGTCTTCTTGACCTTGGTCTGTAATGTCTTTCGTGTGGTACAAAGCCACGCTTACTTGGCAGATCCGCCGAGCCGAAACCTTGTGAGGGCGCAAGCAGGGACAGAAGACTGCCCGCATTGCTTGAACTCCAACGGTCCAGACAACGTCGCCAAGCTGGGCAACAACGTTTGGCCTACGCACCTGGCTCCAGAGTCGCATGGCCTCTGCGGTGATCCGGTACAAGGCCATTCCCAACCTCTCAGCCTTCAAGACGAGGAGTACCTGGTGCCATCGGCCGCGCAAAGGACATACACGGCCGGGAGCGTTGTGGAGTTCCGCGTGGTGGTCTCGACCCATCACACAGGCCATGCGGCTCGTCCAAAACCCTAACCCTGGATCAAGACTTCAGACGAAGCTAATGCCGACCTGGCAGGCCACTACGAGTTCAGACTCTGCAACAGGGTCCTTGACACAACGCTCCAGTCCAGTCGCGAGGACACGCTTTGGCATTCTCCGAACGGAAGCATCTATGCATGCCTGGAATATGTATGTGTGTATGTAGGTAGGTAGGTAGGTATGCATGTATGCACTGATTGATGGGTGTATGTATAAGGGTATGCGTGTGTGTACGTGCACGTGTACATAATGTACCTGTAGGCAGAAGTGCAGGTGTTTGTATATGTATGTATATGTGTGCATATGCATGTATGTGTATGTATATGTTGTTTATGTATGTGTATGTATGTATACAGAAGAAGAGGCTGTGTGGCTTGCGTTTTTGCAACTCACTGTTTTCAGTGGCAGTGGTTTTGTATGTTTCGAGTGGTTGCGTGGGTTTCTGTGTCAGTTGGTCGTTCGTTTGTTGCGCGCGCGTGCATGTTATTGATTCTAACTACAAAATCCACTGTGAGCGCATCCTGCATACAGATATGCTGATACAGTGGACTTTTAGCATCCGTCGGCTTGCGTGGCTTAGACCAAGACCATGTTTGACTGGGTCCGTTGTTTACAAACACAAGGCATTGCTTATGAACAAATGAGTTGTCCATAAACACATGGGTTGCTTTTGTGGAATATGGTGCATATGCTATGCCTTTGCCCGCGTGTAAACACAAGTGCTGTTGCTACATAGCTCAGAGGTCCAGTGATGGCCACCATTATCACTGTAGAGGACCAGGGGGCTCTGAAGGGACTGCATATCAAAACAAAACCGAAGTCTGATGCGAATGCTTGTGGAGATGGAGGCCATGCAAGATCATACAAGGGCCTGGACCACAAATCCTTGGAACTTCGTCATTCCCCGAGGAGGCTTCAGCGGCAGTGGCCCTAAAAAAACTAGATGTCCGGTTGTATGCAGATCCAGATGCTTGGAATTCTGGATTGTAGACTGTGGGTAACCGAAGCTATCGTACCTATAGCATCTAGCGGGACATGGACATGCACACAAGCAGGAATTGAGTCTCCAAGACAAGAAGCAAACTTGTTAGCCATGGGCAGGTTTATCATTCTTTTGTTGACTCCTGGACAGTCACATATGCTAATGCAGATATTGAGCGCCCTCATATATGTTGACATGCAATAACAAAGCACTGGTATAAATCCTGCGACCTTTGCCAACGAATTACGCTAATTCTGTAAGTACATGTTCTTAAGCAATCAAGCAATGCGTGCCAAAGCAGATGATGCGTTGAGTTCTGGTGTTGGGTGGGTTGGCCTGGTAGGATGGAAACTTTTGGAAGGATAACATATACGGCTCCGTGCGGGATGTGTCGAGTCTGTTCGGCCTAGACTAAGGCTTGGTTTGATAAAGTCAAGACTACACTTGTTTTACGGTTTGCTGCCTGTGATAGTTGTTGTGGGAAGAGTCATGAATACGTGGCCAATCAATACCGCGGTGCGGCACCTGTTGACGATGCACCGGTTAGATCTGACCTTGAATACATGACTCAGGTACAGAAGTGAACGCTACTTTGTGGTGTAATGCTGCATGCGCGTACTTCAGAAGTGTTTGAGGCTTTTAGAACGTACATATGACACAACAATGCGTCTGCAAAACCCAGGCCACACAGCAACCTGCTTTCTATGTATATGTGGGTGGTTGTCAAAAATTATCCCCTTTTGGGTCCTTAATATAATACGGCAACTAATATTTAGGGTACCCAAAACGGACCATGATTTTGACAACTTCCCCTGTATGTAGATGCACACATATGCATGAACATGTATGTAAATGTATGTATATGTATATGTATGTGTGTGCACGTATGTATATGAACGTATATGTATGTACATGCATGTATATGTATGGGTATGTTTTTGCATATGTGTTTGTTTATGTATATGTATTGTATAGGTATAGGTATTGGAATAGGTATAGGTAAAGGCATATGTATGTGTATAGGTATACGTAGACGTGTATGTTTTGTGGATATATAAGTTTAAGAATGTGCATGTATATGCATGTAGATGCATGTATATGCATGTGCAAGTATGTATATGTATATGTGCTTGTACATGTATATGTGTATGCCTATGCAGATGCACATGCATATGCACATGTATATGTATATGTATATGTACATGTATATGTATATGTATATGTCTAAGTATATGCATGTATATGTGCATGTGCATGCACATGTGCATGTGCATGTATTTTCGGCATTTCAATGCAATCAGAGGTGTCCGCTGCCTAATTAACTGCACATTGCACCCTGAACGGCAAAAAGGCCGCTGCAAGAGGGTGGGACCAAAAGGACGGTGGTGCCTCAAGCTTCGGGGAACCTTCGTTTAGAAAGTCCTTCCAGAGCATCCACAACGTCCTTGGCAAAAGTCTAAGAGGATCACGAATCACGGTTGCATCAAACTCCACGCCCCTGTTCTGAGACCATACAACTTCCCAATCTTCAGTCAGAGTATACAGCGTGGAGTCCTGGGTCACGTAGTCCGCACACTGGCGAGAGATCGCTCCTAGCCAGTCAAGATCCTGAACTGCTTTGGTAAAACTCGCCCGCGAATGCAGAGTCGCGGACCCTCGCTGGGTCTCGTCAGCATGTGGGGGCTCCTTAGCAAGAACCTGCTGAAGGGCACTCAGCAGCATATCAAGCTGTTGCGACGTCCATTGCTGCAAGTCATTATCCCGAGCCACCAAATCAATCTCCTCGAGAAGGTAGTGAACAACCTGCTGGATCTCCTCAGTATAGAGGGGGTACTTGCAAACCCGGTGCCAGAGCTCATCCTCAAAGTCTGCACTGGGTGGTGCATCCAGAACAACATCACACAAGTCACTGTGTAGATGCCCCTGACACTTGGACCAAGGCTTTTCAACCCATTCAACCGGAGTAGTAGGTGCCGTGGGCGGAGCTGGGGTGAATGTTTCAGCCTCTCGCTGTCTCCTCCTCTTACTCCCATATCCCGGGGCCAGTGCTGAGCCAGGGCGTCGCGTCCGCTGAAGCTTCCTCACACACTTGGCCGAGGAGCGTAGGTGGTCCTCGATCCGTCCGAAGGTCCAAAATTCCTTGCCGCAGGCCCCACAGACCGTGGAGTCAAGGTAGTGCCGATATTCCGCACAACGTCCATGAGCTTTGAAAAAGTGCACTGACAAATTCGCCCTTGAACGGAACATCTTGTCACAAACTCTACACCACCACGAACCATTGTTACTGGCCCCAACTGGCTCGGGTCGAAGACTGCGGAAAAGGTACCAAAGACACAGGTCAACAATCGCCTGCGACTTGTATTGCCTGAAGGTCTCCTCATTCCGCTTGGCAGCACGTCTCTTGACCCGCTCTGGGTGGTCCCTCAAGAGGTGCCACCACTGAGGCCATGCTGCCGCACCAACTGATGGCCAGTTTGACTGATTTCCAGTCACCAACCACCTCAGGTCATCACAAAGCTGTTCCGCCCATTGACCAGCAACCTGGATAGCAGCCCATAAGATCGGGCGCCCCGTAGCTGCCAATGAGACAAGGGCTGAGATTCTGTCACGCCTGGCGAACTGTTCCAGGGGCCAGCATCCGGTGATGATGTGCGCGAGCGGGGTGGGAATTTTGTACACCTCCTTCTCGGGGACAAGGCGGCACAGTAGTCGCCGCACCAGACGCGAGAACGCGTCACTCATGAGGCTCCAGGCTGGCCCCTTAGCCAACCATACTCCCAAGTTGAAGTAGGTCGCAACCACAGTCGTGCGGAACAAAGCAACCCTCGTAGGGAGGACAAGGTCACGGTTCTGCAACAACAAGTCCTTTGCACTGTCATCCGCTGTGGCTGCAAGGGCCGTCCTGTGCCTAGCTTCTTGCAAAAGCCTTGCTGTCGGGTCCACCATACATCCTAGATGTTTGTAGTAGGGGACGATTGGGATCGCCTCCTGCAAGTCTGGCAAGAAGAGCTCGGGCTTTCCATTGGCAAAGCACTGGCGCCTGATACAAGTAGAGCCTTTGCCCTTCAGGCTCAACATCACACTCGTCTTGTGGCGCTTGAGGTTGGGGTCCAGCCCATGGGCCCGAAAGGCCGTCAAAATGAGAGCCCCGACCCTGCAAGTGCGGTAAAGCATCTGCTCCGCTCCGCTGGCTTGAAGGGCATAGGCAGAATCATCTGCCCAAGTGGTATCCCAGGCAGGGTGCCTGGAAGACTCACTTTCTGGTCGGAAAACACCAGTGTCCTCATCCAGGGGAAGGTCAAAGTTGATGCATTCACCCTCCATCACCTCGTGGACATGATAAAGAATGCGTGCATAAATATATGCAAACACGCAGTCCGCCCATGAGGCTCCTGGACGGGAGCCCGCAGTAGCATGACACAAGGTGTGACCATCCGTGTGCCTCGTAGTGAACCAGGTAGCTCGATGGAAATCCGCAGCTGCAGCCCTGATCGGGTCCGGGATGTTCGCGGCTTTGAACATCCCCCCACTGAGGATGAGCTCCGAGAGGGCTTCGATGTCACTTCCATCCAGGCCAAAACGATGAAACAGCGCCTCTATCTTTTGATCAACTCGAAGGTCTCCTGTAGCAAGCTGCCTGACCAATCTGTAGTAAGCCGCCTTCGTGTCAACAAAAAGCAACGCCGAGCAGAGGCCTGTCTGTTGGCGCTTTCTCAAGTGCTCCAGGACAAAGAGTGAAGGAAAAAGAACCGGAAGGCCAGGACGGGTCCCGCAGTGCAACGGGTGAAGGAATGCCTCAGTTTCATCCTTGACCTTGTCTCTCATCACCCTATGGAGGGTCTTGGCGAGGAAGCTTGAGATGTATATACTGCGATGGTTGGCAACTTCTGACTGGGCTCCACTCTGCTTGAACATCTCAAACAAGACACCACCTCGCCACTGAAGTGGCTGTCGGCCCAGAACCAAAGACTTGACAAATAAGGGCTGTAGAAGAGCTGCAAAGCCACTGGGACACACCCTCAACAGGTCACTCGGGACTTGATCCAAGCCAGCAGCCTTGCCCTTGGGCAGCCTCCGAAGGGCCTTCTCGATGTCAAGCCGACTGGGCAAGAGATGC